CCAAGTAATGAAAATGATGCTAATACTAGATGCTGCTAGAGGATGTAATCCAGACATAATTACATATGAAATGAGAGTAAGTTTGGGATCACTGAAAGCGTTAAATACCTGAACTCTGATCTCACTGAAGTGAATTACCACTGTTAATTATAGTACAGTTAAGCCAATATTTAATACTTTAATTCAAATAAATTAAATGGGATCAGTGACTTCCCAGTTATGTAGATAAAAAAAAAAAAAAAGGCTGACCTGAAGCAGTTTTGAACATTTTTCTCAAATGCTGCTTTCAGTATACAAAACTCTTTTAGGAGTGCATTCCAGACACATGCAGTATAGCAGAGTGTATAATTTGTTGAAATCTTTTAAAATTGGAAGGTAAAAATTACTTGTGCAAGATAAGAGCATCAGAGCTCTGCAACAGTTTATGGCTATAAATTCAGTTGTAGTGCTGAAGATGTCTACCATCATCACACTGTTTACTGGTTATCTTGCCCCATCCTCAGGGAAGCCCAGTGGTGACTTAGATAAGGCAGCTAAGCTAATGGTGTGATTCCACATCCTCTCACCAAGCAAGACAGGCTGACTTACAAACACAATTTATATAAACTATAATTGGCTTTTGAATGAGTTAGGAATTGCTTTCTTGGACAACCTGTTCCAGTGCCTCACCATTCTCACAGTAAAGAATTTCTTCATTGTGTCTAACCTAAATCTCCCTAATTTAACCTAAATCTCCCTTATTTAAGCTTGAACCCATTGCCCCTTGTTTTATCTCTACAGTCCTTGATGAAGATAAGGAGGATTTAGTATGAAATCCCTGGTTCACGTTTTCTGAAGTACTTACTATTGCTGAAGGCAGAGGTTTGCTTGCATCATCCCTTCTATTCCACTGAAGAGTTCAGCCTTTTAAATAAAAACATCTTTGAATTGAAACTAAGTTTAGTTCACTTAGTCCATTTCTCTGGCTTCTGGTGGCAGCCCTAAATGTCTTGTTCTGGAAGTTGTCATCTATGGACCCTGCTTCATCCATTTGCAGGGCTTGTTTCCTCCACAATCTTTACATCAGGCCCAAACTCATCTCCAAGTGTGTATGCTTTCCCACCCTAGCCTTTAGTTATCCCCTCACTCCTATTCTTCCCCAGAGCTCTCATCTGTTTCTGTCCCTTTCCCAGATTCACTGTTACAGCATTTTGTATCCTGTTTAGTCATAACTTTCCTCACCCAATACCTGTTTCCTCAGTTTCCCCCCTGAATTCCCTAATCTTCCCATTTCAGCCATAAATTCAGCCTAAAGCAGATGGCTGGTGTGGGAAGTTTCAGCTAAAAGTGTTGCAATTTGGCTAAGCTTTGAGAAACTCGGAAGAGATTTGTGAGGGAATTAACCCCGGGTAATGTTTCACATTTCACTAAATACTGTCTTCTGGGCAACTTGCTTTGTCACTTTGTGTGGACCTTCCCATCTGGTTTAAAATTTATTCTCTGCAGCAACTAGCTAAGCTTCAGTAGAGTAGAAGAGCTGTTTTTATTTGGGGTTTATAGAGTCAAAGAGTTTTAAAGATAATTGATCTTGTTCCCCGGGCTAGTTGAAGTAGCTTTCTATAAAAGTATTGTCTGTCAGAGGCATTTTATTGGAAATACCTCAGTTCTTTTACACTTGTTTATAGCTTACACCAGGGATTTGTGCTAAAGTAGCGTTGTCACGGAGCTAGCTCTCTTAGTTTTAACCTACCACTCTCTGTATCACAGTGCTGTGGATCCGCTTCCCTAGCGTGCAGTCTGTGTGGTAATAAAAGCAGCAAAGTACACTCCTGCTGCACAGTTCTCCTTAAGTGCTTATGTGAACCAGACTTATACTCTTGTTTTTCAAGCTCTGTCATTACTAGACTTCTTCTTTCTTCCCTCCTAGCTTTTCACTGGGTTTCAGCGCAGGCTTACCTTCATTACAGCAGGCCTTTTTTGGCTAATTGATAATTCTTACAGCCTGGTGTATGGCTGTTATTTGCCCAATCTATTAAACTGTTTACAAGCCAGTATCTTCAGTCATGCAAGGTTATCTTTGCTAGAGAGATGTACCAACCATCTTTATTGTCTCAGAGTACAAACCTCATGTACTTTATCTGGCCTTTGAATGCCAGAATTAATGCCACACATCAGAACTATCAGGAGTTCCTGAAGTTTGAACCTCCTAAACCTGAAAGCACTTCTGAAAGGCAAGGAATTACTTGACAAAGACAAATCTGATCACATGGAGCCTTTTTGTGCTCTGGTGGTCCTGAAGCACTCAAACCAAAATGAAAGCAACCCGAGAAAAAAATAAAACAGTCACTTCACCCTGGAAGATAATTAAGGCATAGAAAGTCTTTTCCCATCTATTTCATGTTAGTGCCTATTACCATGTGGAGGGGTGAGTTGTTTTGAGGTAACGCTCGTCTATCCCGATCTCTCCATTGAATGCAATTTCTTGTTTCACATGCCTGTTAAAAAAAGTCTGCTGAAAAGTGAGCACTGTCAAATAACTGATTAAAATGATGAATACCATGGAGTAAGTAGGGATTAATTTATATCCTGGCCCAGGGTCTCTTTCACTACAAGAATCAGAGGATATTGAGTTATATCAGCAGATGAGAAGTTGAAAATAAATGAAAGAATATTGTTTTCAAAGCTGTATTTAAGCTGTATAGCTTCTGACTGCAGCGTGCTGTAGACATCTAGAGCTTGCATAACTGAACAAATTAATGGGAGAAAAATCCATTGAAGATCACGAAATACAGAAGATAAAGGCCTTAAGTTGTTGGAAATTTCTGTAGTACTGGGTGAAATACCATTACATGCTTGTCCTCTTTCTTACACTCTTCCCTAGGCATTTTCATGCTGACATTGTTCTATGTCAGTTCCTTTTTAGGAACAGGATGGTGTCAAGCCCCTAGGAAGACCAAAGAACTTTTACTTGGAAAAGGAGGAAGCTTGGAGAAACAAACTCACTACAGGGGACAATAAATGTGATCAAAGGAAGGGGTATCTGCTTCAAAGTATCAAAGATGGGAAAACAAGGAAGTGGATGGGGGATGCTGTTCAGAGCACCATCCAAAGCACTAGAAAGTACTTGAAAATATCAAAGGACCTGATGGTTACTTCCCAAGGGCTCCTGTTGAGGACAGGCTGTTGAACTAAATGGACCTTGTGTTTTTACTTGATGCTGCCATTTGTACATTCTTCAGCAGGTTAAGGTCTTGAATGCTTGGCTGTTAGCAAAATTTGTTTAGAATGTGATGCCAGCTGAGAGTAGAAACATTGTGATTTGAGAATTAAGCACTGCATTTCTCGAACCCCAAAAAGCAAACTTTTGAGGGAGGAGTATGTTTAAGAAAGGGGTGGGGAGGGAAGATCCTAACAGTTTTCTCGTCACAGTACACCGAGTAAATATTTAGACTGATATATAACCTTCATAGTGTTATGTTGTACAAAATTGCCAAGAGCCTAGTTTGTAGTCTGAATGCTATGCTTGTTTTGAAATTTAAATAATAAACAATTTATATATGTGTATATTTCAGCTTAAAATCACATTTTGGTGGATTTGGCTGTTAATAAAAGCTTATGGTGGAATCAAGCGCTCTCCAACCAGGAAAAATATGAACAGGACCACACAAAATGCTTCCACTGTGTCATTTCTTTTACTGCTGTTCCATTAAAATAAACTCTTTGCCATAGAACTACTTGTCATTTCCCGCTTCTCAAAAATATTATAAGTAGTGTAGTTACTAAAGTATTCCACTTCTAGCTTTGGTATCTACTTGACTATATTTGCAGAAGATCCTTTACGTTCCTTCCTGCCATTTCTTTTCAACCACATACAGTACTGGATCTTAAATACACTGTATTAAATGCAGGTTTCGGCCAGTGCTGCTCACAACTAAACTGAGGCTAGTCAGTGTCATACTCATCTTGGTTTGTCATCAGTGATTCCAGAAGGAAAGTGCGTTTGGTCTTAATGCATGTATTCCAGTGTCCATGTCTACTTCAGCATTTACTGAGATAAATTCTTGACTTGTATCTTCTGCTTACAGCATGCTTTTTCTGTCTCTTGAATTTTATTGCTTACTGAGCTCCACTGAAGCAAAAAGGAAGTCTTTAACTTTATGGAAATTTGTTGAGCTGGATAATTAGCTCATCTCGTTTGTATGTTTGTGCAATCTCATATAACATGGCCCTCTGTCATTATCATGTCTGTTGGGCTTTCTTAAATCATAAAAGTCATGGGTTTATTCTTATTTAGCTTCCTTGATTCAAAACTACTTTTGTTTCATCTGACAATGGGGTTTCCCCCACTTTTGTACAAAGTATGAGAATAATTCTTTTATGAGTGTTTTCGGTACTCCTGAGGTTTTTCTGTTACTTTCCTAGAGGCAAGTGCATAAGTAAGATTTGTTTAGAAAGCAGAGGAACTGGTTTAGTGGAGAAGTATTTTATGATCTCTGCTTCATATGCACGCATGAAAATTCACAAAATTTCTTTAAATGTTGTCTTAAAAATGTAGGTAATGATACCGTCAAATGCCTTAAAATAGTAAAATGTCCATCAAGTAGTGAACTGGAGGTTTAGGGTGAGTTGTTGTCATATTGGGTATATTATTCAGTACCACCAGCTTTGGTATTTCCTTTGGCATTATATAACCTTCAGTGTAGGTAGATGGAATCAAGATGCTCTCCGCAAGCACAACTGTAGTGTTGTGATTCAGAGATGGTCTCCCAAATGATAAGAATGCATGAGATTGGTGTCATGATAAGGCTACAATTCTATTCTGGTATTAATACACAGTAAAACATTAGAAGTGCTGTTAACATCCTTAAGAAATGTTTTTGGTTTAAGCACGATTCAGCATGCATTTTAGTTTGCAAATTGATTTACTTCACCTTTTTAAATTCCTGGGATCAAAGAGCAGTGCTCACTTGCTCCTGCAGTTGATGAATACTTGCAATGTTTTGTTACATTTTTTTGTGCAGTTAGTTTCCAAAACCTCCTCGTTTACAAGGGTGTGAATAGTCTGCATTTACATGCACTGCCAGTAGTGTTCACAAGCTGGCAGGTAGGTAATACTAACTCACAAGGTTGTGCTTGAATGCATCACTTCTGTTATGCTCTTACCCCCTCCACTGTGCCAACAGCTGAGAGAGCTGTGAGTTTTCCCTACACTCACATCTTTCTGGCTCATTGTCAGTCAAGCTATGCCAACTGCACCAGCCAGTAAAAGCATATAGGAAAAATAAATTTGTCATAGGAAAAGTACAGAGAAGTGATTACTTTCATGCAAGACTACACTGAAGGCACTGTTAGGCTGTACTTCATTAATGCAGAAAAACTAGCTTTCAAAATCAGGGGGTTTGTCAGTGATAGTGTCCTTGAGGACACTTCCACTCAAAGAGTTAGGACCAAAACATGGGGTATTTTTAAACTGCTGTAATGTAAACATTTTTAGTAATTCTAAGAGTAGATGAGACAACAATATATCATTGTATTGTATCATTCTCAAAGAATTCTATGCAAATAATGGTAAAGGGATGTGCTAGCTGATATGCAAGAGATTTATGTAATAATTATCTTTGATGAACTGCACTTTCTACATTGTTTTCTTCATTGTTTCCAAACATTGAATTTTTCAGGTTATTTACATTGTAATATAAAATAACAGAAAGTAAAATAGTTGTGGAAGTGTATCTGTAACTGTTAACCTGAGAAACTTTTGTTTTTTTTACTCTTCCTTAAACACCCATTTACCCTTTCCTCTTGTTATTATAGTGAGGGGAAATCAAGCAGGCTCCTTTTTCTGTAGAACTTAATTCCTAAGTACAAGTTCAAAATTTGTAAGCTTCAGGACACAAACTTCAGGATTTGTGTGATTATTTTGTGTCTAATTCTTTTGAAGAACTTTGCAGGACCATGCAGAAGGCATTGGGATACGGAATGCTTCAGATTATGCTTAAAGTTGCTTAATCTTGGCATACTAATCTAAATAACAACAGTGTTGCATTTTTTTGTTGCTTATACATGTTGAGCAGAATCTGTCCCATGAAAGTCAGTAGTACAACTGAAATTAACATTAAATAATGCATCCAGTATTTGTCACAGCTCTATTAAAGGACTGTTACAAATGCATCAATTATTTACAGATTAAGGTCAATTTCATCGGTCTGTATTTAATATATTATATTGACATAATATGAGAGACCTAATTTCTAGCCTTCACTCAGCACTAACTTCATGTGGCAAAGATGGCTATCGAGTAGAAAGTTGGTTTTATTGCTCTGGAAATAGGAGTACAGATCATAGAATGGCGTCAGATTTTCTGAAGTCAAAATATTCAGAAAGTATAAAATGTGCAGAACATTGCAGGTGTTTAGCTTTGACATTTGTGAACAATCTTGTCAAAATGTGCAGAAACTGTTCTGTACCAAAACCAAATACTATTTTCCATCCTGTCTAGGAGGCATACAATAGTAAGAGCACTTAGGAGCAGTTTTCATGGGAAAAATATTCTCCACATGGCAGAAAACTTAAAAAGTCTGTCTTCTCAATACCTGCTGTCTCCCTGATCCTGTTATAAATTGAGGAAGGGACTATGGTGAGAAACTTTTGAGTAAGACAAGGGATTGGTGCTGGTAAGTTGAACCCTATCAGTTACTTTCCTCACATGAAATGCCTGATCAGTTTTAATCCAACAAGTGGGTCAGTATTCCTTGGGTGTGCACAGCACATATGAAGTTCTGTATCACTGAAAGTTACAAATGGGAAATAAGCCAAGAGAAAACTGGAATAATTTCTGCAATACAAAAATATAATTAATTAAAAAAGTAGTATGAAAAGTGATATTAACGTATTTCATGTAAGATACTCTGAAGGCCAGGCTTCACTGGTAACAGTGTAGTTTATGACAGTCTTTTCTGAGGAGAAGAGGCAATGCTCTTTTGGCTTCATAAGATCGGAAAAGATCAAGTTTCTCTTAATGGCATATCAGTTTCTTTCAGTTGATGAGCTTGTCTCAGTGTGCTTATTGTGCATGGGAGGTGAACCTAAGAATACCAGAAAAAAGCTGTTTTGCTAGATTTCTGATGGCCCTTCAGATATTTTAGTTAAAGCTATTTCTTCATCTGTGATAACTTAGAACTTGGCAGAAATACTTTACAAAGTAGGCATAACAACAGTGGATCAATTTCTCCATCGTTTGGAATAGTTTTGGTGAGCAGAATTCCAAGAGATATATGTACCAGAAAACCTGCAACAGTTTTTCGCTGGGCTCATCTAAGACCTGTGAAGCCCCAGGAACTTAAGTTATTCCCATATCTATGTGAAAGCTCTGGCCTAGATCACAAAGTCAATTTAGAGGCTTAAATGTTATTTAAAAGCCATCCTGTTTCCTAATAGACTTTTTTGATCTCCAGAATGCCCAGTCTGTTATCTAGATTATCAAAAACCCATAGGACCTGTGTTTTCACTGGTTCATTTCCTCTGGTTATCTATTGAATTGCCCACATCTGATTTTAATTAGCAATTATAAGTCACAGGTGTGTGCATATGAAAAAGAGAAGAGGCAAATTGTTGTTTGCCCTGTTTCTGGGTATGGGGAAGAATTGTGTTCTCTTACCTGTGCTGGCTTAAATTAATGTTTCCTTCAAGTGGGTCAGTTTAACATGAAAAATTAGTAAGTTATTTTCCTTCCTTTGCTTTCCTCATTCTTGCATTCTCTCTGACCTGCCACACAAGTGTTAGATGTGGATTCAAATCGCTCTGGATCAGAAAGGTTAGTGAACTCTGGTCTTGTGCATTGGTAGTGGGTGAAGATGAAAGAAGAGGGAATTCCACTGTCTGGTCAAACACCAGGACAGGGTCCCTCTCAAGGAATGCTTCTTCCTGTAGCCCACAGTTAGGTGTTTAAACAAAAATACTGTGTAAGTTATCCTTTCATATATTATTCAAATTGATCTGGTAGCTGGGAGAGACATAGATAAGTTATTTAGAGTTTAGATGTCTTCAGTAGTACTTTTAATACCTGGCTTGTTTTATCTCATGATAGCTCTGAAAAATGTTTTCAGAGTTGGGAAGAGATTGGTGTGTTTGAATTGTGCCTCAGGAACAGCCTAGACATCACCACTATTATGTAGCATTTTTCAGGCATTGATCCCCTTCTCTCTATCCTGTGCTGGAATACGCTTACTAACAAGATGTTGCTAAGAGAGAAGGAATAAGCATAAAATGCCCCTTACAGAGTAGTTTTACTGCTTGCAGAGTTTGGGCTATTGCTGCTGGTGGTCTGCATCTTTGTAAGTGAAAAAGTGATTTTTCAAGTTACAAGATGAAAGCGGGAGAGAAAAGAAGTGAATTAACAATAAAGTTTGTGGAAGTTTTCAGTATTCTAAGATAATATCTGTTCATATAAACCACCAGGCTACAAAGGATTTCAGGGTTTTACAAAGCTTCTGCTCAGCTTCCAGCTGGCAAAAATAACCGTATTTTCAGTAGTATGAAAGGTGGTGGTTATGCTGCTTTGCATTGCAGAGTGTTCCATATCCCATGTTGTATCATGTCTCAGAGTAGGTCAGTATGAAATCAAGAGTGAAAGAAACGAAACTTTGAAGGTATTTGTTTTTTCCAGCTCAGTAACTTAATATTTCATCAGGGGCCATCTGGGAACTAATCTGAATATGCTGCAGTGAAGAGAGCAGCCAGGGAGGAACTCTAATGAATTCTCAGTATACATTCCTGACTGCCTTCAAACAGTTTGGCAGCCATAATTTTTTAAAGCATTCCAAGCACTCATCTCTCATTGTCTTTTGTGGTTTGGACGAAGGATCGTTGATTGTTGGACTGGTTTTGAGGTAGTCCCTTGAGTGCAATTGTGGATCCTACCTCACACATTATCATCTACATTTGCATATAATTGAGACATAAGCTTTCTGGCAAACTGCAAAAGTAATGCTGTAGATCTGTTGTTAAATTTTCTAAGAACAAACACAACAGGGATGCCAGCCTAAGATGTAGGTCAAGAATTTGTCCACAAATATTCTTTATTAAATCCAGTGAAATCCTCCAGAGGACGTTAGATATGAGTTAAAGAAAAGACCTGTATCCAAAACTTCTTTATTATGGGGAGTAAGATAAAATGAGAATCGGATCTTTTTTTCCTCTGCACTTGTTTGTTTGAAATTGAAAGCATTCCAGGTATCTTCTTTTTTCTTTATTATTATTATTTTTATTTTTGACTTTTTTTTTTTTTTTTTGGAAAAAAGCATCAAACCGCCCCCAAATCCATGTGTCACTTTTGTAAATAACATCCATGCATGAGAATACATGTGTGTATTAGGGGTGGGGGTGAGACAGTGAGAAACCACAGAGGCACTTTATACCTAACATTGCTCCTGCAACAGCTAGTGGGGTGAGAGGTGACTTTAGCAATGACTTACATTACATAATACCTCCCATCTCACTGCAGATGTGTGAGTTTGTTTAAATGTTTTATGAGGTTTTTATTACACTGTAATATAGTCCCAACCCCTCTGCAGTTGCCAGTTTGGTCACAAAATATAATAAATTTTCAAATACCTAATGCTTTAGCTATTCAATAATTTTCTGACAGGGCCCCCAGTGCAATTATGGTACCTCTGTGTTGCTGAGCTACTTTTGTTTGGGATGTGTAGAATAGCAGCTTTAGTTCTCTGATCCTGTTCTACAAAATCTCTGTGTTCAAGCAGATTTGAGTTCTGTACACTTGTAAAAAATTACTGTTCTCTGTGTCCATTTTTCATGTGCTGTGATACAATAGCAGGCTGTGCAACAGTAACCAGTGCTTTCACACTCCTTTGGGGTTGCCATGCCTAGCTGATTTGTGGTGTAAGTAGCAGTCTCAGCTATGGAATTTTTTCAAGATTCTGAAACAAACTGAATTCATGGAAAGCATCTGTACTGTGTGCTGATATGCTGCTTTGCACCCGTATGATAAAGTTTACATTGGAGGCCACTGAACATTAAACACCAATTCATGAGAGAGCTGAGAACAGGCCAGAGCAGTCTTCACTTTACATTGGAACATTGCTTCTCAGTATCCCATTCCCTCAAAAATTTTATGAATTTTTACAGAAGGGAGGAAATTCAGTTTCTGAAAGAAAAAAACCCACAACCTTACGCTTTAAAAATATGCTTAATTTATAAGCAGATGGTAATTTTTAACTAAGTATTTCAAAGAATACGAAGGGAATAGATATATGCGTAAGGAAAGTGGTTCTCTGTTTCCAGTTTCTGCTTCCACTGAGGCAGCTTTCTGCTGGGCTCTGAACATTATATGGAGGGCCGATGGTCAGATCTTGATTCAGAAGGACAGTTTTCCATTTTGAAATCCCTCTCAAAAAGGGTTGGCTCCTGAGATGTAGAAGCAGGCAAAGAGAGAGTATTTCAGCAGAATTTTGCTCCTGAGGAACTTGTGTCACTAAGTGGGAGAGAGACTGCTGGAAAACAACAGCCTTACCATGTGTGAAGCCTCTGAATTCAGGAAGGTGACTGCGTT